TGCAGTGTTCATTCAACAGAGGGCTCTGCAAAGGGCAGTGCTGTGTGGCCAGGACTGTGCAGGGTTCAACAGAGGGCTCTGCAAACGGCAGTGCTGTGCAGCCAGGACACTGCAGTGCTCAACAGAGGAGGCGGCTGGAGGAGGCCCAGGCACCAAACACATGCTCCTTGCACATGCCTGGTCAAGTGAGCCACTCACATTCCACTTCCTCCTCTCTTCCTGGGACACAGGAAGGGGCTCAGAAGCCTCATCAGCAGCCCCAGAGGACATGCTGGAGTCACACTGTCCCTGACTACCGAGGTGATGTGTAGGAATGGGCAGAATTGCTCCGGGGGGCCAGGCAGCAGGGGGAAAATGCTTCCTGATGGGTTTGAAGCCACCCCCACACCTCGGGGCCTTCTGGGCTGCCTTCCCCAGGGGAGTCCACTCACATGGGCTCCAGCTCATCTGGCTTTCCCCACCGGGGCCCAGGGAGAGGGAACTGCTGTTCCCATGGAGCCCTCGGGAGAGTGACGCTGAACACAGACCTTTCACTACTGGGCTTGTCATTAGAACTAAGCTGAGACACGTCCAAGAGGGACACTGTGTGGGCAGAGCAAGTGCACCCAATGCTGGGAACACCTGCCGTGTTCCAACCAGGCTGCCTGTGTTTCCAGGCCCCCGCAGACAAGAGCTGGCCCGGCAGAGGACACCAAGCCCCAGAAGCAGGAGGAGGGCATTACCTGTCCCGCAGGGATGGATTCCAGGGAGTCTGAACAGCCCCGGGCAATGGGCCGGTCATCAGGAGTCAGACTGTCAGTGGACGAGAGGCTGCTGGCCAGGGCCTCCTCCTGTACGAACATGATTCCTGGAAAGACCAGGGAGGGCGGGTGGGGCAGGCAGGGCGGGGAGAGCAGCCGTTCAACCTCCAGGGCTGGGCCGCAGCTACCGGCACGGCCGGGGTTAGTCAGACCCAGACCCAGCCACGTGGATTAAAGAAGGAAATGTTAACACTGAAATCTGTAAAGAACTCAGAGAGAATAAACGACTGTTTATCTAATCTCAGGGCAGGAGAGACTCTGAGCATAAACGCAAAGAAGAAACTGAGCGTGTGACTACATCAAACTTTAAACTTGTAGAAGTTACGGAGCAAAACCGAAAATAAATCAAAATCAAATGAAATAAGGAAGAAAAGCATTTGTAATATCTGACAAAAGGTTTTTATCTTTAATCTCTAAAACTCTTACAGATTACAAAAACGTGGGGAGAGGGTTGGAACGGTCACGAGGAGGCCGTGCAGAGGACACAGACACTCCACAAAGGCAGAAAGGCTAATGGAGAGAAAGTCGGAAAAAACATTCACCCTCATGAGTCATCAAAGAAATGCAAGTTAGAACAAGAGACCCGGCGTTGTTACCACTCTGGCAAAGGTTAGACTGACCGGGCCCCAGACCTGGCCTATCTGAGCAGAGGAGGGTGCTGGGTGTGAGCTAGCCTGCCTGCCCGGAGAGCAGTTTGGCAATATGCCCATCAAGAGCCTTCAACGTGTTCACTCCCAATGAGATGCCACTCCTGAGCAACATCTCTGCACAGCTTCACAGATACGCAAGGGCTAGGACCCCTCACTTGGGGAGGCTGGACCCTCCTGTGAGCGTTTCCTCCTGGGCTGGTGAGCACAACCTGTGCCCAGCACCCCTGGGCTGCGGGACATGCCCCACTCAGCCTCCCAGGATAGTCGCACTCGGGACTCCCGCAGCCCACAAACACACGGTGCTTTTAAGCCCTGAGACTCTGATGGCTATCGCACCTCTGGGACCGTGACTTCACTCCAGACGCTCTGTAGACTTGTTGAGGGTAAAGCCTTTTTTAACGCATTCCTAAACTCAGCAAGTTGGGGGAATAAGTTGGCAGAGGGCTTGTCTCCACAGCTCGGCTTTACAACCCGTCACCATGGCCCAATGAAATGACCATAGCCCTAGAGGTCTGAGTCCCTTGTCCAGCTCAGCTGCTGCCTGGGGTCAGGACAGCTCACGCAGCCCAGGTCCTCTGCCCGTGGGCCACACCCAGACACCCACAGAGCAAAGCGGTGGGGCTGTGCAGAGGCAGGAAGGCGGCAAGCACACAGCCATGCACGGAGCATGCCATGGGGCCCACTGGGCCTTCCTCGGGCTCTGACCTATGCTGCTGCTCTCTCCTGGGGTCCACTCCCTCCTCCCCACCATCTTCAGATCCTACGCATCCTTCAAGTCTCAGACACCACCTTCACCATGAGCCTTTCTCTGTTCTAGACACAGCATCTTCTAGAAATGCCCCAACTCATTCTGCCCTGTTCTCCTTTAGGGAAACAACGCATCTCCCCAAGGGCTCCAAGATCCTCAGGGCACTGTGCTGGTCATCCTGAAACCGCTTGGTAAGGATGCGGAAAAGGAAAGCCCTTACTGACCACTTCTGGTGCGACAGGTGCCATGTTACGCGCTTCCCAAGCATTCACTCGTGCATGGCTCTTATTATTTACCACATTTCATCAAATCTAAGATGCCAGGATGTGGCGCCATCTTGGTCTTAGCAGAGGTGTCCGGGAAGTTTTCGTACGACTTTGTCACGATTACCAGCTGGCAGACAGTGACTATGAAACGCCACTGATTGAAAGACATATCTCAATTTCAGAGAAGTCACGAGGTAGAAACGTGCATCTTAGAGTCGATGAAGTACGGTGTATCCACTTTACAGGTGAGAAACAGAGCTTCGGAGAGGCTACAAGTTGCTTGAGGTTACACGGCCAGAAAGTTGGATGCTAGAGCTGGAACTCAGCTGCGTGAAGCCCAGGTGCCTGCCTCTAACCACCTCCCTACACAGCCTCCTCTCAGCTCTGGACCCTGCTGGAGAATCAAGTCTGGCATTTCACACAGTAGTCCCTACCGGTCACAACCCTCCAGGGCTCCGAAAAGCTGGGCTAACAGCTCCTGAGATGACTAGAGGCCTGATGTTTGCTGGACAGCGCCCCCTTCAGGCAGGCCCCTGAACGCCCAGTTTATTCATAAGTACATTCACTTCCTACAGAATCAGGCTGGGAGCAACAATAGGCATTGTTAGCAAAGCTGCTCCTACCCGGAAGAAATCCCTGCCCATCCAGGCAAGATCCATGAGCACATAGCTGGACCAGAAATACATGGATTCCTCAACATTAGTAAGAAAACAACAGTGTCTCCCTGATGTTAGTCCTCCCCTCGCCCCAAAGCCATCTGGAGATGAGGAAACGTGGATGGGGACAGTCTGTCAGCTTCCTTCCTGGACTGTGGCCTGTACAAACAAGCGGTCAGAAAGGGCCACTCTGAGGATGGGACAGGGGACATTAGGAGAATCCTTAGATGGGGACCCAACTTTTTTCATTTCTCACAAAAAGGAAAGCGATGTGCACACAAAGACGTCCACTGCAGTTTTATTTATAAGAAGTGCAAATCTGGAGACAACGTCTCAATGTCCAGTAACTGGGAAAGGAGAAACAGACCACAGTGACCCACTCTGTGGTGGTGTGTCCCAGGGCGTGAGGGTGGGGTGGGGGCGCTGCGGCCTGGGCTGGTGCAGAGGGCTGGGGAGGGGGCTGCCTGCAGCTGTGGCCTCGGGGGTGGACACCTCACTCACCCTGTCTGCCCAAGACCCACTCTCGACCAGCTTGTTTTCCATGTGCTCGTTCATTCACTCGTTCACTCCCTCCCTCCCGAGTTATTCACTCACTGACACAACGTATGCTGACTGCAAACCGCTGTGTCCCCGGCCCTGAGAACCAGACACGGAAGCCTACAGCAAAGTGGGAGGCCGAGGCACAGACAAGCTGTCCCTCTGCACCCTCCAGTGCTGGGACAAGAAAACCACAGGGATGTAGGAGCCCTGAGAAGGCTGGGCCCTGCTGCAGGAGGTCAGCGAAGCACCTTCTCCACAGTGATACAAACCCCCCTGTATGTAAACAAACAAAAAAAACCACCAAAGTTCCCAGTTGAGAGAGTATGACAAAAGCAATGTGCAGCCACCCTGGCACCTAACACCACCATGCCACTCCCGCGAGCTCTCCTCAGCACTTTATGGTCGGAACCTTGGCTCTGCGTCACACCTTCTGGCTTAGGGTGAGCACCTTTCCCGTTCCTACCCAGTCTTCCTCTCTGACGGGGGCGGCAGCAGAGTACTTCGCACACGGCTTAATCTCCCTCTCTTCCTCCGCGTGTCACAAGCCGTGCTTCGCTAGCATAAAGAATGCTGCCGTGAGCGTTTCGCCCCCTCCCCATATCCCTCTAAGATAAAATCCCCACCAGTGGGGTTACCAGGTCAAGGGGTGGGAATGTTTTTCTGGCTCTTGGAACATAGGGTCAAACTGTTTTCCCAAGACCTCACACCAAGTTCCGCGTCTCCAGGAGCCTGGGTGGGCGGTGTTCTTTCCTGCGCGCCCCAGCCTCGGCTCCACTCCTCTTCTGTGAGGGCCGGGCCAGCAGACACTCCCTTGGGACCTGCTTCACTCACTCATCTCCGAGGGTGCCTGGTTCAGAGGTGAAAGCTCTTTGAAAATGCTAAGACAGTGGGCAGATGAAAGGGACTGGTCTTCCAAGACGTCCCATCTTGGCCCCAGTGTTTTGGAGCTGGGTCACATCAAAAGAGCCACCGCAGAGGCACAGCAATGATAGAAGAAAGCTCTCCATGGAGAGACCAGGGCTCCAGACTTGGCAGAGTCACAAGAAAGGAGCCAACCTGCCCACACTGCCTGCGAGGGGCGGGGGTTCTTACAAGCCAGCAGCCCAAGCCTGTGCAAAGGGCAGCCTCAGGACCCCATCGACACCCCATGGTATCCTAGAGGAACCGGGTGTGGGCGTCAGAGCAATTCAGAGCAATCAAGGGTCCTTACTAAGCTAACAGCGGAGCTGAACTCAGGCCAGGCACCCACTTTGTGCCACCCCTAAAAGGGGCTGGCCTGCAGAGGGCACCATGTCTGAACCCCTCCCATGCCTAAACCCCACGGGGAGCAGGTGCCGGCATCTCTTCCACAACCCCAGCCCAGCCAGGGGGTCCAGGCAGCGCCTGGGTGGCTCTGCTAGGCAGTCAGATACATACACGATTACCTTGGTTAGAGAGAATGGGCTGAGGCAGGGAGGCAGAGGTGGGAGCCACGGTGGGAGGGGAGCTGCTGGGTCTGACGCAAGGGGCAGCCGAGAGCCGGGAGTCCTCACCGACCTGAGGAGGAGTGCTCGAGTCAGCCCGGGAGAGGAGAGAAAGTTCAGGAAGAACAGAATGCAATGTGGCCAGGTATGTGAGGCGGGAGGAGCCAACGTCTCTCACAAGCATAGGTGGTAATGAAAATGACCCCGCTTACTCCTCACAGCAGCCCCAAGTGGAGGCTACTCTAGTCACTCCTCCTTACAGAGAACAGAGAGGGCATCGCACTTGCCCCAGGTCATACAGCCAGGACTCAGTGGCCCCCGAGTAAGCCCACGTCCCAGTTCCACTGACAGCCAGCTCCTTGGCCGGCTCTCCTGGCGGCTTCCTCCACTCCCCACACAAACCAACCTTCTTGTCTGAGTTGCTCAGTTTGGATTTGACCTCCTTGGCTTTCTGAATCGCTTTCAGCACTTCCACGGTGTCTAGCTCCTTCTCTGTGGTCACTGTGTCATCCAGGCAGACCTACAGAAAGCCCAGAAAATTGCTATCAGCGTCAGGGCTGGCAGCCTAAGATGGTGGTGGCTTGGCCGAGGTGTGGGCGTGAGCACTGGCTCGGGGCCAAGCCCTGAGAGGACGCAGGAGGCTGAGGGCAGGCTCAGCCTGCTGGGAGGCGAGTACCTCACCGCCCACAGGAGGTGACCTGGAGCAGCAGAGCGGTACCACACTGTCCGGTCTGTCTTCAGGAGTCCTCCAGGAAGGGCAGGCAGAGGGCCAGGGGCCTCTGGGAAAGCCTCCTGGGTGACTGGGACTGGGGGAAGGTGGTACCTTGAACTAAGCCCCCAATTATGCAAGTGGATGCAGATCATCAAAGAGCAAAGGCCCAGGGGCAGGTAGAAGCAGAAGACAGGCAGGAGAAGGCCGGGACAGTGAGCTGTGGGCAGTGGGGGAGGGAGGGGACAAGGGCCTGGGAGGGAAGGAGGAGGTGACATATGATGAAGACTGCCTGGTTGATGGTGTGGAGGAAGGGACACTTGGTGTTGAAAAAAGATGGGGGTGGGGAGGGATCCAAATGGACTCCCACGTGTCTTCTGGCCTGGAATTTGGGGAGAACAGAAGCTCCCAGGAGTGGGTCAGAGAATGGGGGAGGGACCTGCTTTAGGCCGAAGAGATGGACAGGGTGAACCTGGTGGCAGGTGGCCAGACACATCCAGCAAGCAGCAGACACCAAGCTGGTTTACACTGGCAAAAGGTGGACAAAGCTTTTGGTCAGACTTTATCGCCAAAAGTTATCCAGGAAACAGGGTTATTTTAAATATTTTATTTCAGGCCCCGGCCTATAATAAGCAGTGTTTCCTTTTTAAAAAGTTGAAGACAGTTCCTCCACAATCTGAGCCTGTGGATTATGTCTGCTCCACAATCTGAGTCTGTGGATCGTGTCTGCTCGGGCGAAGCGCTCCTGGCCTGAAGCTCTGACAGCCGATGGGACAGCAGCCTGCTGGGGATGGAAGCCTTGACAGGAGAGGGCGGGAGGGGTGAGAGGGCCTTTTCCTGGGAAGGCAGTGGATTTCCCAGAACTGAAGGGAAGGGACACCTTTCTGAAGCAGAAAAGGGTAGAACACTGGCCGCCACTCCAGCTCTGATACCAGAAGCCAGAAAAAGACAACCCAATGACAAATGTTGCCCGATCCCACTTACGTGAAATATCTAGACTGCAGACGTGGACTCGGTCCAGACACCCCCAGGAGCTGAATTCTCTCCTAACTCCTCAGACAAGCTGCCCTCCCCAGCCCAGAGGACCCTGACCAGCAGCTCACCTCGGAGGCCCGCTCCCCAAACTGGGCGAGCACCTTGGTCCGGTAGTCAGGGATGATGCTCAGAGGGTTGTTCAGCAGGGCCACGTGCTCCAGGCACGGGAGGCTGCCTATGCTCCTGACCTCCTCCATCTGCAAGGGATGAGTGCCATTCCCATGGTCCCTTCTTTTAACACGTCAGCCACATGACAACACATATGATGGCCTCTTTTAAATGAAAAGAAGCTTAACATACTTCTTTAAAGTGATCATGCCAATGTACAGAAAGCCAGAAACCCTGAGGTGCTCCTGGGATGCAGCTCACCTGCTCGATTCTGTTGTCACCGAGATCCAGGTTGACCAGTGAGTAGAGCTTGTGGAGGCCACTCAGGCTCTCCAGGAGGTTGCCCGCCAGGTTCAGGGTCTTGATGTTGCCCAGTTTGGTGTGAACCCCTTCCAAGGAGGAGAGTCTGTTGTAGGACAGGTCCAGGTGGACGAGGTTGTACAGGTGCTGCAGTAGCATTGAGAATAGGGTAAAAGGACTCAGGCCAAGTCTTGAAAGAAAGGGGAGTGATGCTAACGGTGGGATGGGTCTTCTGACCTATAATAACCAACTTGCACATCAGCTCCATTGACTCGGACGGGCATTTGAATGGGAAGTCCTCTTCTCCTGCAGAGCCAGGGCACCCCCCACGCCCCACCACCACCACTGCAGAGGCAGCAAGGGCCAGAGTTGGGGAGAGCTGGGAAAGCCAAGCTGCCCATTTCATAATGGAGACGCATCATCTGCATCCCGCCTGATCTATACTTACTCATCTTCTCAAATTCTTTGGAACTAGAGCAACAGTCACGAGGACCCTGAGGGAAGGCAGTACCGTCTGCACTGACAAACTCCTGGTCACCCAAACACGTTCTAGGTGTCTATGAGAGCCAACCCCTGGGGTACGGCCAACCCCCCAAGGCTGAGACAGCACCCTCAATGTTCAGGTGAAGGGGTCCTCATGAGAAGCCCACAGGCAGCGCTGGTCTCCCAGGACATTACCTGCAGATTGTCCACGACCAGCACGTCATTGTGACTCAGGTCCAGGAACTCAATCTTTGGAATCAGTTTCTTAGAAAAGAGAAAACCACACAGGACATTACGCGAGGAGGCTGAGCTCTGTGTGGTCCTCACATGGCAGACAGGCCCGTCACTCTCCCCTCCTGACCATAGACTCTTGGGCTGGCCAGCTCTGCCGGTCGCTGACGTAGTGCCCCCCCTGTAGGCCCACCTAACAGCACGTCTAAGGAACACACAGGGACCCCAGTGCAAGCACACTAGGCTTGTAAAAATGACAAACGGCAAAGACCCAGAGAGAGAAGGGATTCCATCCTTCTTCTTCAACCTTACCACACCATGGAGGAGTATACATACAGGAATCACACACCTATGCCCCAAATGCCATCCGGATGTCACTCTTACATAGGCATATCTGTCACCTATGGAGTGATCTTTCCACATCTACTATTTGGGAGTAAATTTCATCACCTACTATGTTTCCATAATAAATGTACACGCAACAGATATGCTTCATTTGATTCTAGGTAATGCCTCACCAATTTTAAATAATCTCATTTTGAAATTAACTTAAAAAATTGTAGGCACAGAGCACGGAACGTAAGTTTTCTGTGGTCGTTCCAGAAAAAGCCAAGTTAATCCCCAAACCTCAGGGCTTCGTCAGGCCAGAGAGGCCCCTGCACCCGCTGCTGAGCATACCACAGACTCGTCGATCTCGGAGATGCTGTTGTGGCTCAGGTCAAGAGTGGTGAGCGCGTGCCATGTGGGGATGACGGCGGTCACGGGGCCCTCCAGGGCTGCGCCTTCTGGCTCCCACTCATCAAATTCCGATGCTTCGGGAACAAGGACTTCCTGTGTAAGAACATCTGCTGAGCACCACACTGGGGCCCTGATGCCACACTCACCAGGAATACAACCATTGCAAAATTTAAGGAAGGGCTTAGCATATTTAGCATGTGGAAGTGAACTTGCGTTAAAACCGGCTTTGGTTCTTACGCCTTTAAACGATTGTGAAATAACTGAAAAGCTCAGCAACATAAGAGCCACTTGGAATATGTCCTGGCCCTGCTTCAGGAGCGAATGTTTTCCAAGCCCACAAGAGCCTTTAGCTACACAGTGATGGCTTTTCTGACTTAAATCTCTGAGGCTAAAGGTCAGAATTCATGGTGTTTCCAGGCAACCGTGCTTTCCAAGCTGGCAATGCCAGTCCCCACTGTGGACAACAGGCACTTTTAACTGTTACTTCACAGGGTTAGGGGTCCCTGGATGACGCAAACGGTAAATGCGCACAGCTGCCAACTGCAAGGTTGGCTGTTCAAGTCCACCCAGAGGTGTCTCGGAAGAAAGGTCTGGCGGTCTACTTCTGAAACACCAGTCACTGAAAACCCTATGGATGACAACAGCAACTTGAAAGATTAGACAGGAACCGTAGGGGGCGGTGAGTTTATGTTAATGGGGAGAACAACTCAGAAAAGGAGGGTGAGAACGGTTGCACAACTCAAAGAACGTAATCAATGTTACTGAATTGTACCTGCAGAAACTGTTAAATTGTTGTATGTTTTGCTGTGTATATTCTCAACAACAATATAAATAAAACTAAAAAAGAAAAAGAAAACCCTATGGAGCACAGTTCTCCTCTGACACACATGGGGGTCGCCATGAGTCAGGGTTGACTCAGTGGCAACCGCTTCCGGCTTCACAGGGTTAAAATCAAGCAGGTGCTGAGACAAGGGTCACGACAAGGAGCACAGGGACACCATGGCGGGGAGAGGGCCAGGTGTGCCGCCTCGTTTTGACTTTTCCTGCCCACGAGACCGCTCCTCTCTTAGTGATCATCTCATGCCCGTTCAGCCAGGCAGCAGGAAGTGCCTCACAGAGGGACAGGTGGCCTGACCCCCTCTCTCTACATACAAGATACAAGCCCCCATCTTTTGGCCGGTAACCTCAAGAAAAAGCTATGCTATAAACCCAAATCTTGATGGGACGTTGTAAGTCATAAAAGTAGTCACTACACTTTTCTTTTATACGTGGAGAAGAACTTTAACATTACCAAGATGCAATCCGTAAAAAGGCTAAAAAAAAAAGAAACTTCTTACATTTTCAACTTGGATATTTCTGTTGCTTACATACAAACAACATTCTGCAACCTCATCTATTCTACTTCAAGTTCATGGAAAACAAGATATAAACGGTGCTAAGCCAGGGTTTTTTAAGCTTAGAGAAACTTTTGTATCAATCTAAACAATAAATGTTCCCTGATTTACTGCTGCTTCACAACTGGTTCATAAAGAACTAGTGACCTTTTTTTTTAACTCTAGGAAAGGAAAAAACCCCAATCCCTTAAAATGCCTTGTTTAACCGAGCTGATTTTGCGTGAAGAGGTGGGCTAAAGCATCCCAGGGGCTGTCAAGTGCGAGATGTCCTGGATGAGCCTGCACTGCCCAGGAGAAGCCTCTGGCCACTGACAGACAGTAGCAGTGTCCACACCCACCCTCGGTGGAGGGAATTACGCCCCTGTGACCCTGACCCTCAGACAGTGCCCCAGGCAGGACATAGCTGGCGCATACCTTCATCGAGGTTGCGGAGAAGCGGACGCTCATTGTGGCTAAGGTAGGCTTCGACGCGACCAGCCCTCGGATGTGCTTAGCATCACAGTGGCTTATCTGGAACAAGAAATGGCTGTGTCTCAGCAACGGCATCCTTGCTCCATCAGGAATCCTGGGGGGCAGGTGTTCATTAATCCATACAACATCGGTGGCCCAAGTCCTTAGAAGCGAGAGCCTCCGCAAAACCTAACTCTCTTTTTTCCCCCAATTTTTCTCCTGACTAAATAGTCTCTGAAGTATCTAGTAAGAAAAGCATCTGGTTTTCTCAGACTCACAATGAACCATAAACTCCATTTTCTCTGTAGGAGCTGCTTGTGGCTTGGCAAGTGGACAGAAAGTGGGGGCCACAAAAACCAGAGCTGGAGAGCAAGGGGCCACTGCAAAGCAGGGAGAGCGGTGGGCCCTCCTGTTCACTCAGACCCTGCTTCACTGACCCCAGCTGTCCTGGGGTGAGAAGGACAGGAGGCATATAGGCCACAGCGCCTCCCATGAGACCTGCCTGCACACCACACACCCACAGACTCAGACCCCCCAGAGCCTCTGCCTGCCAAGCCAGGCTGTGTGGGCCTTTCCTCTAACACCCCGGCCCTCACTCAGCTGGCAGTGACCATGGCACATGCCACGAGTGTCCGTCAAGGGAAGCAGGCCTCAAGGTCTCAGACAAGCCTGAATGGTCTGGGGCTCTGGAGTCAGACTCATCTGAATTCACATCCCAGCTTTCCCCTCGGTAAACTGTACGATCCTGGCCAAACTTCCTTACCTCTCTAAGCCTCAGTTTCCTCAACAGTAAAATGGGAATGAAAGTGCCCACTTCACAGGGCTGTTAGGAAGATTCAATCAAGGAACACACATCAGACACGGGGCACAGGGCTTAGTGCAAAGTCATGCTCAAAAAACAGATGCTTTCAAGCATTTTTAATTATTCACTACTGAGCCTCCTCCCATTTTTAAAGTGATAACAAAGCTGGCACCATGACCAAGGAGTTCAGTAGTGAGTAATGCGAAGAATTCCTTGTTAAGTGTGGGCAACCTCAGAGGGCAGAGAACCAACAAAAGACCCTTGCTGTTCTGTCTCGGGAAATACAGACTTGGAATTGGCCCTGCCTGACCCTCAGGATGAATTCCTGAGACTTCAACTCAAACACCAGCTCCTCGCCCCCACCAGGAGGCCCAGAAGGAGCCGAGCGCTGGTGCTCCGTTCCATCCCAACGTCTCCTGCCGCCCAGGCCAGGGCACAGACATGCAGATCCAGCCAAGAGCAGCAGACGCCCCTCTTCCTCTGCCTCCCGACGGGCCTGGCTTACCTGGATGGGGCACATCACACGCTGCCCACGCACCAGTGCCTTACGATTCAAGCTGGGCCCCGACACCCAAAACACTCCCGAGCCAGATGGTCACAAGCCGGACAATGCCTGTGCAGGGCTCAGCCCTGCCTGCTCGCTGAGGGCCCAGGCCTTACCTCCACCTGATGAAGAGACTTGAATATTGACAGATCGAAAGGCAGGAGCTGCTCCTGAATGTTGCTGGTCCCATAAGGCCCTTCTGTGCCAGAAACCTGTGGCCGCAGATACGGCTTGAATTAGGGCTGCTGTGGCAACCACTCCCCATCCATGCACCCAGGGCAGTGCGGCAGCAGCTGCCCAACTGACTTGCTACAGCC